CCACTAGGTGGATTTTTGTCAAACTTTCAAAATAACCACTGGATGAAAATCTTCAGTTTGTTAAATTCTGAAGTCATCTCAAGTCAAGGTGACTCGTTCGATTAACCTTAGAAAACACAAAAATAACTATAAAATGGTTAATGGCTAAAACTCAGTCAGTTTTACACACGGAGCTAAAATCTGTTGTAGTAGTTTCTTAATGTCCTCAAACGTACTTTAAACTCTAAGGGAAAACATAATATCTTTGTTTAATAATCTGCAATGTAAGACAACTGGAATGCACATTTCCTTATAAAAAAACTGCAAATAAAGCCAAGTTATAGCCGATACCAATTCCTCAAGACGTTTCAGACTCAGAGTATCCAGAAGAGCAAAGACTAAGTGGCAATATTTATTTATTTATTACCTCCCATCATGGTTTGAAGAGGGGAATTTGAAATATCCTATGCACGTCAGTCCATCCATCCATGCGTGCATGTTATGTACATCATAACTTGGAAAAATAAGCAAGGTGCCGACTTCCACTTTGGTGCATGCATCTAGGGGTAAGAGGTCACTATCAACAATTGGGTTGCCAAGTCTGTCAAGTATGTAAACCAGCCTCCCTAATCATTTGAGGAAACTATGCTTTCCAGTTTTTATATGACTTAAAAATATAGTTTCCTCAAACGAGTGGGGTGGCCGAAGATTAATCAATCTATGGTGGTCAAGGCCACCATTATCCACCCCCTGGCTCAACCATGCACAAAAATGCTCCCTCCACTCGCCAGGATTGGTCACTCTGCGCTGCCTTGGACAAGCAAAATAAAGAAAACCTACCTCTATTCTTATCCACTTGAATATCTTGCAGTCCCTGTTCAACTCCAGTCCAGAAAAACACTCAGTCTCATAAGCTACAAACATTCGTGATCCAAATCCTTCAGCAACAGGGAAGCTGAAGCCTTCTGCTATTATTATTTTTTCTATGTATTAAAAATGTTGCCTTACAGAAAAAGCACAACTTGATTTAGTCCTAAAGTGAATGTTAACAAAACACTGTCATCTTTTATCATTACTACACAACGCAAACTGTAAAAGCATTTTGTATCATAGCTTTCCTCCCAACACTTGAGGACAAATCAGATCAGACAAACAGCTGGATGCTGTTGCCCCCCCCCCCCCCACACCCCCCCACACACACACACACTCCTCCCCACATATTTTGGTACCCAACGAGCACAGCAACCTCATCCTGGTAATACTATCATTTCGTTGAGCCAAAGTGGAAATTTCTCCATTTGGTAATTTCATGTTTCCCAGTATCGTTGCTTGCAGTTCGATCAAAGCATATTGCTGTGTAATTTTGCTCTCCCACTCAGACCAGCTTTTATTTTGGCTGCAGGTGTTTTTGTGCATTTGGTTGGTAGTTTAATTCAACCGAGACACACACCCACACATACAAACGCAGAATAATTTACACTTAGACAGAGAATATGTTTCTGTTTTCAGTGTCTGAGGCAGAAGAATCTAAGAGGGCAACTCCCACGCTCTTTTACACTAAATAATCATTGTGGGAATATTGATACATACCTGAAAGTAATCGAAATTAACAAACTATGAGCTGTTTGAGTAAATGCTCACACCTTCTGTCCCCAATCACAAGGTGTGAAAAGTTCCAGTGACGCTATGACATCCCATCAGCATCCAAAATGAAATGGCTGGTGAGCACCGTTACTCCCAGAAAACAAGCTGTTTGTTATTGCAGTAACATGAGGTCCCATTTAGAGGGTAAATTAGCTCATCTGGATTTCACAATTACTGTGTTCTGTTCATATTAACGTCTCTGAAGCCCAAGAACAATGGCTTCCTTTAGGGAGTCATCCGTGTGGCTTTCAGCGACACGACTGTTAATCACAGAGCGTCTGTAATTTCAACAGACTGAACGCGTTCTGAAGTTAATTTATTTGGGTGAAACAGCTGCTGCCGCATGAAACGATCCATGTGTGGCGATTAAATCATTATTTGTTACAGAGACAGACACAGAAATGACAAGCACTCGTCAGGATGATTTGATGGAGACGATGTGAGCACAAACCTGAAGACGTGGCTCATATTTACTGAGATTCATTTGTTGTGAAACAATTTTCAAATCTCTTGTTGGAGGAATGTCAAAATATTTAAAATTTCCAGTTATCAAACAACAATATCCTATAAGATTGAAATAATAATAATCCAATCACTGCCTTCTTTTACATGAACTGAAACTAAATCTTCAAATTAAGACTAAAACTAAACAGTGTTTAAAACTTTGCCGTTAATTATTGGGATCAACCTGTCTCCTTTTAATTGATGATGCAAAACATCTCCAAGTCCAGATGTTTTTCATTTATTCATTCTTTTAAATTTAATTTTCCATATCTTAGATGACTGAAAATCTACATCAGCATCTCAACCCTGTTTTTGCCTGTTGGCAACATATCTTATCAACCACTTGTCTGCTTTTTTTAAACTACAAGAACGGTTTCACTGGATGCATGTCAGTCCAATTCAAGATGGCCACTACTGCTAATAAACCTTAGCAGACACAAAAATGTCTATAACTGGGTCAGTTTTACAAATACTGAGGTAACATTTGATGTGGTAGCAAGAGAAAACTGTTGGAGATGCTAACGGTCAACACAAGATGGTGCTGCTTCATCTGTTCACTGCAGACTTGTTGGATGTGTTTGTGAATGAGTGAAAGAATCTGGATCCTTTTGAAACCTCCAGAGTTCCTGTTGTGTTTCGTGAAGACAATTCTGGCATTTTAAGGTTTTTAGCTTACTGTAAGTTAACCTTTTTGTTTTGTATTTTGTAGCTTCCAAAGAGTTCAAATTTTTAATTACACTTAAATCTTGTACAAGTTGTCATGATCCAGAGTCTTATGAGTTATTGTTTAGTATTTCTGAGTCTGGTATTTAGTTTTACTTGTTTCCAGCTTCATCAGTGTTCCTCCCCTCATGCAGTTCAGCTCCTGCCACTCTCACTCTCATCTGATCCTCCCCAGGTGTATCCCTCATTAGTTTCCCTTTAAAGCTTGTGTTCTGTTTTCGTTCGTGTCCGAGCATTATTATTGTAAGCTATTCATGTTTTTTCCTTCCGTTCTTCTGAGTTTTTGAGTTTTCCAGTGTTTTTATGAGTATTTTTGCTGCCATGTCAGCCCATTTTTGTCTTTTGTTAGTAAATCCCATCCATCCATCCATCCATCATCTTTACCCGCTTCTTCTTTTTTGGGTCACGGGGTCACTGGTTCCCCATATCCAGCAGTCACTGTGTGAGAAGCAGGGGCCACCCTGGATAAGTCTAGTCCATCACAGTGACACATAGGGACAAATGAGCCAAACAACCATTCAGTCTCTCACTCACACCTAGGGACAATTTACAGTTACCAATTAGCCTAACAATACATTACAATTTCTTTATTTTACCTTTGAGTTCTCTGAGTTTTTGTATTAGCTTTTGGGTTCTGATTTCCCACTAAACATGATACAATTGGGCTAATTGTTGTGTTTTGTGCAGGTGTGGGTCTGCAACGCTTGATGTCCGGAGAGAAGATGGGTGTAATTAAACGACCTCCTGGACAAGCATCGGCCTCGCCATGTTAGTTCTCGATGCTGAAATGTGGAAACGCACACATTAACCCGAGTGTGCAGACATGCCTACATACACAATTGGAACAGATGGTAAGCAATTATGAAATGTGTGATAACATCAGTGTGTGTAATTGGTGTGCCGGGAAGTGGAAATGAGTCTGTGCACTTAAACAGACAAGTATGCTTGAGTATAAAGGCCCAACAGATGTATACGTATTCATGTTTAAGGAGAGTGGACATCTTTAAACAAGAGTGCGACAACAGAAAAAAGTCCAAAGGACTGGTCGACACAAAACCTTATGTGGGAACAAAAGATAACTACAAAGATCTCAACTACATGTAAATGTCCTCAAGAAGGACTCTTAAGGTTTCTGAAAAATTAAATGTTTGTTTTGTTTTTATGTGGGCAAAAGAACAAATTTAGTCCTAAAAGTAGCAAAATCATGAAGACCAGTCAAAAAATTAAAGAATCCATTCAAAAGTTTTCTCTTATCAGTGTTTAATGGTTCCTGCAGAAACAGCCGAAGTGACCGAAAACTGGTCAACAACGGTGACCGCTATGGTAGAGCCGTTTGGGATGGACAATCCTGACAATTTTGATGTACTGGTGTGTATCTATGTCCAGATTTGTTGAGTAAAGTATGCGGATTGTTTTACAACTTATCTTGGACCAGAGTTGAAAAGCAGACATTTAACATGAGTTTGTCTTTATGGAGCTCCACCGTTCTGCTTCTACACTGATTTTTAGTCTTGATAGTTGTCTTACTCGAGAGTTTTCTTTTATTTAACTGAAGATTCATTCCTATTTTACCCTAAATATGTTCTATGAGTGTCTACGCTGTCCAGTTCCACAATATTTGTCAATATTGTGACTCTAGGCAGCCATGTGCTTTGTTTACATTCAGTGCGTGCCCACGTTTAAGAATTGCGTTTCAATGTAACTCGGAAAACTGCTAAAGTAAACTCTTTCAAGCTGCACCTTTAGATGAAGTTCATGATAAGCTATTTAATGTTTGAATTCACAGTTTGCAATGAGTGCCTTTTAATGGACATTTGTAAAAGTACCTCACTGAACAACTATTTGTCTCATTTTCCAGGTTGTCATTGCAGGAGAGGTACACACCAACTCACTCAACGCCACATTCCAACATGTGCGAGTCTGGCACGTCTCTGGATCTTCCCGCACGCCGACAGATGGAGGGGGTTAATATCATAATTAAGCACCTCGGTTGACGGTTCCTGTTTATCGCTCGGTTGCTAAGCAGTGACATCAGCTGATCCCTCCCTCCTCCCTAATCCCTTCCCTCTGCCTCACAAACACACTCACCAGTCTCTCTCGTCTCCGTCTCTCTCAGATAGGCGGCGCAGACGTGGGCAGAGTGTGGGGGGGTTAAAGGAAGAGCAGAGAGCAGGAGGGTGGGTAGTAGTGTGTATGAGGCTGGCAGACAGCATGGTCTGGGTTTGAAGACAGCTCTGGGAGACGAAGCAGCCACCTCAGGACCTCCATGTAGACCAGCGTGATAAGATCCAAACATCCCCTGGACTTGTCCACCTCTCAGGAGAATAACCACATTCTTTCTTCATTGAATCAACAGGAGGGGAAGAACCCACCGGGTGGGTCTGTTTATATTCTTTTTTTTTTTTTTTTCTTTTTGTTTTGGGAGTAGGCTCTGGACTGGACCGCATGCATGACACAACGCAAAGGGGAGAAACCCACCATCAGCATCCAGGAGCACATGGCCATTGATGTTTGCCCTGGCCCCATCCAGCCCATCAAGCAGATCTCCGACTACTTCCCCCGTTACCCGCGGGGCCTCCCCCCTGCTGCGCCCCAGTTAGCGGGCCACATTGGCCCCCTGCGCTCTGCCCTTTCCACCTCCTCGGCCGCTCCCTCTTCTCCCGCCGCTGCTGAAAGTGAGCGCCTCAATGAGGACAGCCCGGAGCGGGCGTGCGCCGGAGCCTCCGCGCCCTTACAGGCCATCAAGAGGGACGAGGAGCCCGACGTGGAGGGATACGACTCAGATGACTCCAGTGAGTTATGATTTCTGCCTCTCCGTTTTCCAACGTGTGTGTGTGTGCGCATGTCCCCTTTTCAGTTCTTCCTTTCTCTTATTACTGCATCTCCTTTTTCCCACCAGTTGCCAGGCATCCTTTCAGCCTCATGGCTTTGTGGCATTAGCTGTCACCTTTTCTTCTCTCCTCATCCCATCAGCCGTCTCTCTCTTTATCTCCTGATTCGTGTAACATGCATGTTGTGCATCTGTGCTGCAGCTAACTCTTTGCCTCTTAGTCGACTGGCAGCCAACTGTTGCTGCTGCAAAGATTACAGCCCCCCCCCCCCCCCTCGGCTGCTCTGCTCCTCTTCAGCTGAAAGAATGGTGCGTGTGATTTTATTGGAACAAACCGTTGCATGAGGCTGTCAGTGTTGTAGGAGCACGTTTTAAAATCACGCATGTTTACAAGGTGCTCGGACCGTGCTGTCAAATAATCTCACCGAGCAGAATGATTTATGGCTTCTTGGTGAAGCCTCAAATTAGTCGCAGTTTTTGCAATAAGTGGTCTGCATCTGTAAGCTCCTCTGCATACTGCACTAACACAGGCAGCTGTGTGATCATGCTGTCAGTCTGAGTTGTTTATACGAGAGTATCTAAAGGTGGTATCTCACTGAGCTGCGACAGTTGGAAGGTGAACTGTCGACTCAAACGTATGTGAATTTTTTGTTCCAGTTTTACCGAACTCTGGGTGTTTGTGACCAGCAAGCTGCATTTTGAGCAGCCAGTGTATGAAAATCACTATTTATTTTCATGTGCACGGCTTTCAATATTGAATTATTGGCTGGGCGTAATATTTGGCGGTCCACATCGACTCGCTTTGCACCCACTTTGATGACCATGATCTCCATGTCGATGATTTAATTTGCTGGAGCACACCTTTTGAAGGCAGATTCGTACCGGTGTTTCAATATTGATAATTTATCATCAGCGTGACTTTTAGACTTGGACATTTTCCTCAGATGTTTTCTGTCAGAGGAGAGTGCACGTGCAGGAATCAAAATACAGCTATGGTGCTCTGGTTGGAGACACTCACAATGACTTGGGGACAATTTTGAGAAAAATTTTACACAAATTGTTCTGAACATGTTCAAAACTCGTGCAGCAGAGCTGTGTCTTTGCTAGTCATGTATAGAAGTTGAGAACCAAGACATTCTGCAAACTCCTTTACAATTACTGTTCCCATGTATCACAGCACAGTGAGAAACTACCTAAAGCTTTTCAGATGTCGTGTGTGCCCATGATGGATTTTGTGAAAGAGGACTGGCCCTTTTAGGAATCCTTTTGCTGAATTTTATAGGACTGAGTGACTGGATAAATATGAAAATAAATAACCTCTCAGCGTCTCAGACATTCAGTGTCACAGAGATGGAATAAGATTTTAAAAAACGTTTTCACTTGACAAAAAGGTGATCCAAAAATTGCAGCGTTGCTTTAAAACTGGCACATTTTGTCTGATAAATTTGGAGTGTTTCAGCATCCAGCATGGCTCCATTTATTCTGACCAACATGTTGCTCTCACAGATCTCCAAATATCTGAACCTTGCAGCATGCTTGCAGCACTCTCAGCAGCCCTTGCTGCAGGTTTGTCATGGGTGTCCTTTGCACAAGAGGCTTGTGATTGCAGGTTAATGCGTGACAGTAGTGTGGCTTCTGCAGGAGTTAATCCATCCAGAGTGGCATGCTGTTTGTGGGGGGACTTAGGCCAGCTCTAATCCAGAACTGGACAGGAGTGTTGTAGGGCTGGGGGTGGAGGTGTGGGGGGGTAGGAGGCAGTGGAGGCTGCACTGAACTGGCAGATGTTGCTTTATGACCTCCGCCAGGCAACCAGAATTTCACCCAGTCAAGAAAAACACTTTTTAAAATTATTGCTGTTCTTTAACAGAAATAAAATAATCTTTGGTATGAAGACGCTGAGATATTTGCCTTTTTCATCATTTACAACATCTTACTGATGAGATGTGAAGCAGGCAAGAATTAAAATGATTTATCCTAAAGTCACATTTTTTTGTCTTTTAAATTGTTGCTTTCAGACATTTGAGATCCAAGAAGGTTTGATAAATTCCATGTTATTTACCGTCTGCCATGAAAGGTGTGCAGTAAAGTAACTGTTTTTGTGTTATGTTTGCAGAATTTCTCATGAGCCACCAGGCAGAATTTAGTAAAATGTCCTGAACTGTCTACAACGGATTAACTTTTGGCCCCAACCCAATTGAAAATGGCCACCACAGCTAACTGATATTAGCAAACACAAATTTAAACTCAGTCAATGTCACAGATATTGAGGTAAAATTGGGTGAGCTATTAGCGGAGTCGTTCACAACACATAATATGCTAACACAATGAATGACATGATTTTCTTTGATTTTTTTAAACTGTCATTGAAATTTAATGGACAGTCTTTGCAAACAAAGAAATCAGAGTTTAACCTGAACTATGTATGATGATGCAGTTTGAAACAGCGTCCGTCTTTAACAGAACTCTACTAGTTTTCCAGATATATTGATTGCAATTTTAAAATGCAGGTACACACTCAATGTAAACAAAGCACTTTTATACTTTCATATTACTCAACTAATCAGAGCATAAATATGTACAAACACATCAACATTATAAGACTTCTCCATCCCAAACAGCTCCATCTTGGACATCATTTGACCTATTTTAGTTATTTATTTTCAGTCACTTCAGCTGTTTTTTGTAGGCAAGCTAACATATGGTAGTTGGCAGCCATCTACAAACGTTGCTTACAATTTTTTTTATTTATTATACACATTAACCATTGACACCAGAAGAAAAATATTAGCATTTTGTTTGTAATTTTTGTTAACTGTATTCATGACTTTGCTACGAGTACATTTAATCTAATCGTGCTTTGATATTTTGCCACCCTTTGCCAAAATAGGTCAAATAATATACAAGTAGCAGTCTTAACATGATTTACATGAACACCATGGAAACCGTCTCCTGCTTGCTGAAACGCCTGGTGAAAGTTAAGTTAGGAAAGCACAGTCCATTTAACACTGAATGTTATTACGAGAGGATGCTTTGACACAACACTTACTGACTGGTTGAAGCCAAGAGGTGTTTTTAGATGCAGAGAATGACTGACTGCATCAAATGGAGTGTTTTTTTGATCTTCTAAAAGCAGCTAAAAATAATTTTGAAAAAGTGAAATGCTGAGATTTTTCACAATAGTAAATATAAAAACCAGATGTGGGTATTATAAAAGTACATTTTAATACATCATTTAAAATATTTTGTGAGACGGTTTCATGAAAGAGGTAAGGTAATTTTTTTTCTAATAATATAAACGTGCAGAAGCTCATATCATCTCTGACACAAGTTATCAGTTCCTCCTGGTGTCTACAGTGACAGAGGGGTGCTGGTCAAATTGTACCATTGCCATTTCATACCCAGCCACTTTCTTCCACAGAAGTTTCAAATCCATTGAATAAGAAACAGTTCTGTTTAACACCCATGTACTTACACATCCACATATTTTCACCTGAATGCAATTAAAAATGCACAATATAAATAAATACAAATTGTAGACGTTGCAACATTGGTGTGTGAAATATTGCAGGCAAGCTGTATGAACCACCATTCCTCTAAATACCCACAGCCACGGAGAGTGTTCTGATTTTAGTTATAAAAGAAAACGTGGGTTTATAACAGCTGATACTGTGAAGGCAACGTTCTGTTGATAGTGATCATTGCAATTACTTATTACCTAATGTTTTGCAACCCTACACACCAAATTTTTCAGCTTATAGGTCACAAATTTTTTTGCATAATTTGCATGCCTTGCGACTTCTACACCGACGCAGTGTATTTATGGATTTTTTTTCCCATATTTATAAACCAATTTTTGACTGAGATATGACTGTTTTCATTCATTCTGACTGAAAATATTGAACACTACTATTTTCAGCTGCTAGATGGCACTCGAGCAGTATGGCTTGCCATTGTGTTATGTAATAAGTAAAAGTGGCTATTAATGACACAATCGGCTTGCCATAGCCTGCTACCTTCGTCCAGCTTGCATGGAGCAACTGTCAAAGCAGCTTCATTTCGCTGTGCTGCCCCGGCGAAATGCAGCTGATTTGACTATTGAAGTGCATTTATTTAATAAAAGTTCAACTAAGACACACATTTACTATAAAGTTGAGCAAACAAATAATTATTTTTAGATGTTTATTTTGTTAAATTTCGAAGGAATGCGTCTGTCCTGATTTCCTTTGACTGCGTGCTCCCAGAGCACTGAGGCAGCGAATACTTTTGAAATGCAGCTGATTTGACTGTTAAAGGTGGCTAAAGTTGAAGTCAACAGCACAATGGCCAACAAGAAAGAGCTGAAAAGCTTCAGACACATAAAACTGGCTCCTAAATTCCAGTTTGTTGCTTTCAGAAACTTAAACCCTTTCAATTAATTAAATTGTGATTGATCAGTTTGGTTTATTGAATTGTCACCGCCCAATCCGTTGAAGAGAAGTAAAGGCAGAATTTTCACTTTTAATTTCAGTCACTCAGATGGTCACTGAGTGTAACGCTGTTTTCTTTTTCTTCCTGTGTAGTTTATTTTCCTCTTTACAAAATAACATTTTTCTACATATCCAAGTTATTTTCCCGTGCATGCACAAACCTAAAATATTCAGGCATTTCATTTCACTTGATTTACAACCACACATTCTGACTAACGAGCACAGAATCTGCACAAGCTCGTGCGAGTCTTGTTGCTGGTTTAAACAACCATGGAACCACAGCTCCTTCCTTTTGCTAATAAGACTATTAGGCAGAAACATCTGCCAGAAGATCATCTTAATGATTTTGCAATCACCTGAAGAGTCATCAGTGTGGCAGGATAATTACAGTGTCAGCTCTACTTGAAGAAAATAAAATCCCAGGCAGGAAAGAGGGATATTAAAAAAAAATAACAACCAGAGTAAAAATCACTTTTTTGTCACCAGCGTAGCTACC